ACCAAAAGTAAAGGGAAGGAAACCGGGACTCAAATCAACAATTGGGAACAGAAGGAAGAGAAACATTCAACAAGAACAGAGTGAAGAAACAGGAATTAAAAAAAAGAGGAGAGGTTTAGGAACCTCTGGGACAACTTTAAACATCCCAACATCCAAATCATAGGGATGCCAGAAGGAGAAAAAGAAGAGTAAGAAATTGAAAACTTATTTGAGAAAATAATGAAGGAGAACTTCCCCAGTCTTCTGAAGGAAAGAGATTTCTAGGAGATCCAGGAAGCTCAGAGGGTCCCAAAGAAGCTGGACCCAAGGAGGCACACACCAAAGCACATCCTAACTACGTTACCCAAGACTAAAGATGAGAGAATCTTAAAAGCAGCAAGAGAAAAGGAGAGAGTTACCTACAAAGGAGTGCCCATAAGTCTATCAGCTGATTTCTCAAAAGAAACCTTGCAGGTAAGAAGGGGCTGGCAAGAAGCCATGAAAAAACAAGGACCTATACCCAAGATTACTCTGTCTAGCAGAGCTATCATTTAGAAGGGAGGGGCAGATAAAGTGCTTCACAGATAAGTTTCCTGAACTCCTGTTTGAAGAAGAGACAGAGCAGTGTGCTGGTTTATGCCTCCAGCTTCTCCGACACTGTAGGAGTAGTATCAGTACAATACGGTCACATGCTAGTTCCTCCCTTTAACTATTGATGAGACAAAACTTTGAAATAGGGAATAACTTTGCCAGGGTTAAAATGCAAGTAACCATGTCACTATCTTCCTTGGTGGGCATATTTCAGAATTTTAATGGAGAATTCTTAAGATGTTCTCTGAAGACTATATTGACATGCTGAGGGAGATCTGGAATTGAGGGAAACAACATTTCCTGATCAGGTCCAAGATTTGGTTTTCAATCACCATATGATCCTTTCTGACACTGTTAAATTGAAGGAACACGAGGAGGGCCCTGAAATGTTGATTGATCTAATGTACAGAATTGCCAAAGGCTACCAGACCTCCTCAGATCTTTGATTGATGTGGCTGCAGAACGTGGCTGGCAAAGACTCTGCACGCAGCAATCATGCTGAAGTTGCACACTGCCTGGTCCACTCAGCAGCACTTGTTGCTGAATATTTGAGCATGCTGGAGGACCACAAGTATCTTCCTGTGGGGTGTATAACATTTCAGAATATTTCATCTAGTTTTAGAAGAGTGCAGTTTCAGATGATGTGGTATCTCCAGATGAAAAACGTATCTGCTCTGGAAGGTACTTCACTGAGTCAGGACTTGTAGGATTACTGGAACAAGCAGTTGCTTCTTTCTCTATGGCTGGCATGTATGAAGCAGTCAATGAGGTTTACAAAGTACTTATTCCTATTCATGAAGCTAGTCGAGATGCAAAGAAACTATCCACAATTCAAGGTAAGCTTCAAGAAGCTTTCAGCAAAATTGTTCATCAAGATGGTAAGCAGATGTTTGGCACCTATTTTCTTATTGGTTTTTATGGAACCAAGTTTGAGGATTTGGACAAACAGGAATTTGTTTACAAGGAGCTTGCAATAACCAACTTGCAGAGATCTCACAGACTGGCCCTCCTTTCATGGAAAAAGGTTTGGAGAGGATGTGGTTGAAGTAATCTAGGTTTCTAATCCTATAGACAAGTGTAAATTAGACCCTAACAAGACATATATTCAGATTACCTACATGGAGGCTTTCTTTGACAGAGATGAGATGAAGGACAAATCACATATTTTGACAAAAATCATAATCTCTGTTTTATGTATTATATACCCTTTACTTTAGATGATCGTGCCCACGGGGAACTTCATGAATATTCAAACGAAAGACCATTCTGACTATTTCTCATGCTTTTCCTTATGTTAGGACAAGGGTCAGTGTTACTCACAAAGAGGAGAGCATCTTAACACCAATTGAATTTGCTATTGAAGGCATGCAGAAAAAGACACAGGTGTTGGCATTTGCGACACATCAGTATCCCGCAGATCCCAAAATGCTTCAGATGGCCCTCCAGGCATCTGTAGGCACCACTGTGAATCAAGAGCGTTTGGAAGTTGCCCAGGTTTTCCTCTCTGAAATACCCAGTGACCCGAAACTCTTCAGGCATCATTATAAACTGTGACTCTGCTTCAAAGATTTTACTAAAAGGTGTGAGGATGCCTTAAGAAAAAAATAAGAGCTTAATTGGACCAGATCAAAAGGGAGTGTCAAAGGGAACTGGAGAGAAACTATCATCACCTTAAAGAGGCCCTGCAGCCTCTGATAAACAGGAAGATCCCTCAGTTATACAAGGCAGTATTACCCATCACCTGCCACAGAGATTCCTTCAGTCGAATGAGCCTGAGCAAAATGGATCTCTAAAATAAACATATGTGTTTTATTCATTTGAAGAGAGCCACATATTCAGCATCAAGTGTGAAAAGATCCATGGAAAAATACGATTTGGGACTTAATTCTGAAAGTTATAGTATTCATTTACTCAATAAAGAATGCAATGGCCAAAATAATACCAAATATAGATTTTTGAAGTTTGAGAATCATGACTATGGTTTCTAATGTTCTGGTAATATGCTGTTATCTTTTTAAAAAGACATTTTAATGACTCAAAGTACACTATATGTTTACAATTATTTATACCATAGCTAATGTTAAATTTATTTACTTTAAGTTTGTGTTTTTTAATTTATATTACTATTTATAGATTCATTTTGGAACTATGTTAAATGTAGTAATGCTTATTTTAAAGTACTATTAAATATGTGAACATTTACACTAAAAAAGAAAAAAGAAAGAAACTTTCACATGTTTATATCCTTAGGACTTTTGTTTTTACAATGTGCCTGCATTATTATGTTGATTTTTTAAAATTAAATTGAAGGAATAAAAATATCCACTAAAGTCAGATTCAGTATCTTCTCTCATACAGATTATCTATTGATAACTGTTGATGTCTAGATGATATAGATGAAGGAATCCAGTATATTAATACTATCTCCCTTATATAAAGTCAAAATTTCCCATTAAAATTATTTTATTTTTTTAGAATAAAATGATTTTTTTTTAGATTTTATTTTTTATTTTGAAATAAGTGTAGATTCACATGCAGTTGTAAGAAATAGTACAGAGAGATCCCCTGAACCTTTTACCCAGCTTCCCTCAATGGAAACATCTTGCAAAACTATAGCCCACTATCACATTCAGGATATCAGCAATGATACAATTTCCCAATCTGAATCAGGTTTCCCCAGTTTTATATGTGTTCACTTGTGTGTGTCTATTTTATTCCATAGAACTTTATCATGTGTAGGTTTGTGTATCCACCACCTCGGTCAAGATACAGAAAAGTTCCAACACTACAAGGCTCCCCCAAGTTGCTCCTTCATAAGCACACCTACGCACCTCCTAGCCCAGAACGCTTTTGGTTTTATTTATTTATTTATTTATTTTTTAATTTATTTTTTCAAATACATTTGTCTCTGCCTACCCCCACCACTTTCCCTTGCCCCCTCCCTCCTTCCCTCCCTCAGCTCTTCCCCTTTGGTTTTGTCCATGAGTCCTTGCTATATGTTCCTTGACTTTCCCCTTCCCTTCCTTTTCCCCGCCACCCCCCTTCCCTCTTGTCTGTTGGTTTCTTTTCTTTTCCTTTCAGTGTTGCTGGTCATATTTTCCTTGCATCTTTGTATTGTTGGTTAAGTTCTGCTTATAGGTGAGATCATATGGTATTTGTCTTTTGCCCCCTGGCTTATTTCACTTAGCATGATGCTCTCCAGTTCCATCCATGCTGTCACGAAGTTTAGTAGTTCTTTAGAATAAAATGATTTTATTTACTTACTTGTAGAGAGAGGGGAAGGGAAAGAGAAAGAGGGGGAGAGAAGCATCAGTGCATGGCTGCTTCTCATGCACCCCCCTCCGGGGACCGCGCGCAACGGAGGCACATGTCCTAACCGAGAATCTAACTGGCAACCCTTTGGTTGGCAGGCGGGCGCTTAATCCACTGGGTCACACAAGCCAGGGCGCATTAAAATGATTTTAAAAACAAACACATAGCTAATCGTAAGAACAAAACACTTTGTAGAGCAGATGCTATCCTAAAACTACCAAAAATATTTCTAGAAATGCACTCGAAAAAGTATAAGAACATGCATGGAGTAATATGTCCCAGCTTCAGAACAGTGGTTTCCAGTGGGGAGGGAAAGGAAAGCTGTTTTTGTGGTATCTGTCTTAAAGAGAGAAGTGAGGCAAATGTGGAAAAATACTAACATCTTGTTAATTGGGAGTGAGGGGTGGAGGGCTGCTCATGGGTATTACATAACTTTTTGAAGGTGTGACATCTTTCATAATTTAAATTTTTATCTAAAATTAAGAACATTTGGGAGAAATGAGCATCAACATTAGTTGTTTTAGGATTTTGGAAATAAACGGGATGTGTTTATACTTGCTACGTTTTTTATCAGGAACACCTTTGACTTTTTATTTTAAAATATGAAACACTTGCTTGAATGATTTTGAAGTAGTAACCAACCAGAGAGTCAGAAGGTTAACAGGAAGCAGAAGTGAGAAAAACGTAGATTCAATGAGCTTGCCGTCGACCCGCCTTACCTCCCTCCCTCTGGAAGGTAACAGAGAAACCTGAATCTAGGCACTGAAAGTGATTCCCAGTTAACAAAGTCGCCAAGTCAAACCACACTGTTGGTCAGCTGTGTGCGGGGCCAGGAGCCCGGGAGGCTGATACCTTACTTGCCAGAGATGACCGCGGAGCACCCTGCGCTCCAGCTAGAGCCCAGCACTAATTCTAAGATGAAAGGCAGTCCCGGTGATTGATGCTGAGGACGTAGCGCCCGCAGCGCCTCCGTCCGGCGCCGGCGGGGTAGCACCGGAAGGGGCGGGGGGGGGGGGCGCGGTGCGGCTGGAATCCACAAAAGCGGGGCCCAGGCTTCGCGTCTTACTGGAGTCCCAGGAGCGCTAACTCGGTCTCGCTCCTGGGCTGCCGGTCCTAGCATGGCCGACCAGCCAGGTGTTGCGGTCCAGGGGGATCAAGGGATGTCCGCCCAGTCCCTGGACGGGCTGCTGAGGATACCGCTTCCACTACCGCGGATTCGCATCCGGCCGTGGTGGTTTCCTGTGCAGGAACTGAGAAACCCGTTGGTGTTTTACCTGGAGGCATGGCTGGCTGACTCGATCTTCGGTGAGTGACCCCAGGTGTGCGGGTGGCCTAACCCCCCCCTGCAGTTAGAGAGAGCCCTGGTAGGGCAGCTCTCTAAGGTCGTGCCCAAATTCTCAGGCCACCTTTGACGTCATGATTCCAGCTTTCAGCTCTTACTTTCCCCCGACGACATTCTCTTCAAATCTAGGTCCTCTGGACTTTCGACCATCCCTCCCCACAGAGTCTCTGTTTTCCTGTTCAGGCCCCGACCGAGCCACAATTCCGGAAATAGAGTGGATGAACCAGGTCCTGCTGACCGTGGACATAGTAGACGCTGGGAACTTGGTCGAAATCACCATTTTCGGACAGCCCCGTGTACAGAACCGGGTGAGGAGCATGCTCCTGAGCTTGGCGTCAAGGCACCGGGAACATCGTGCCCGAGGTGAGGGTCTTCGAGATCTGCATGTGGAGGGGAAGCCGCAGGTGAACCACCTGACCGTCCTTACCAGGCTTCCTTACCTTCCCAATGTTTTTGCAGTTTCCCTACTGCAGTGTGCTGCACACAGCCCCTGGGCAGCCTTTAGCGAGGAGTCCAAGTAGGCCCTTGAGGGGAGGAAGCTGAGATCTGAGGTTTTAGGCCCATCACTGCCCGTGCCTGCCTTAGTTTGGTTACACCACTATTGACAGATCCCAAGTTCAGAACCTCCACCCTGAGAAATGATGTTGCCAGCACCACCCCTCCACTCCCCCCCTACCCTCCCCGCCCCCCATGACAGAATAATTTTGAAACAGCATTTTTGCTTATCCAGATGAGAAGATGAAACAACTTGAGGAGTTTTTGAAGGAACGTGCATCCCGTCCCCAGACCCCCCAGCTTCCTGTTGCATAAGTACAGTCAGGAGCATTACAAGAACAGGCCTGCTTCTGTTACTAAAGTTCAAATGAAGCAAGTATCCTTAAATCTCAGCACAGCATTCTTTCTCCTTTTACTTGATGGATAGTGGTTTGATTATTTTGATGCAAATGTGAATGCTGTTGTGGTAAAGAAATGAATTCCCCTTTTTGTTCAATGGCATAAATTAAAGTTCTTTGCTCACTTAAAATTAAACAAACTTACAAAAGATTGACTGTTCATGCATGTCTTGATGTGTGGGGTAGGTTAAAGGCCTGATAGGTTTTATTTTTATTTTTTAGTTTCTACCCTTTTGAAAGTACTAACCTTTTTATCATTTTGTGGCCAGAGTCAGGCCCTCATGCACGGGAGGCAGAGATGCAGGGTCAATGTGCTTTGGATTTTTGTTTCTTTGTTTGTTTTGCATCATTTGTTCTTAAACTTTAACATGTGTAACAATCACCTTGAGAGCTTTCTTAAACAGTTTAAGGCTCCTTAAGTGATTCTGATTCAGTATACTGAGCCCATGAATTTGCATTTCCAACAAGCTCATAGGTAATTCCAATGATTCTGCCTTGAGGCTCACACTTTGAAGCTGTGGCTGGTTTGGCCCCTGAGTGGCACCAAGTGTGCTTTTCATTGACGTGGAGCCTCCCTCCATGCACTTTGGTGGGGGTTCCAATGGGAAAGCGGAGGCCATTAGCACATCATTCTGCTCGCGCTGGGATGCACCAGAGAAGAGCCAGGATCCTGGACAGCTCTGCCAACAGAAGGTGTTCTGTCCCCCGCCTAGCTGTCTCCTTTCCCCTGAGACCTGCACAGGTGTCCTGCACCGGTTGGTCTGTTTTTCCATGACCGGTTACAATGCTCTGACCAATTGGCGCATAACAGTCCTGAGCCCTCTCTGTCTCCACTTTCTCCACTTTCAGAAGGAGAATTCTTATGAGGTGAGGTTGCCAAGAGCTCTCTGACTTCAGACACAAAGTTAGAGTTGATTTAACTCATGTAGTTTCTTTACCTCGCAACAGTAAAGGATTGTAGCTGTTTGCAAGGGTTTTAAAACACATACTTACTTTAAAACATGCTTTTCTATTTCTCATAATTAAGCCAATCATTGATTTCTGTGTGATTTTTTTTTTTCCCCCCTCCTTGTCCCCTACTTTTAAACTTAGGAACTCTTGCTTTCTCTCATTCTGTAGAAATTTGATAAATACTCTTGCCGGGTTTTCCTGGTGGGATTTCTACAAAACCATTGAACATTTGGTACTATATTTAGAGAGGAAGGTTATGCTTAAACTCCATTCAAATATCCCCCAAATTATTCAAAATTAAGTAACTAAATGATCCTGTACTCCTTAGGAAGCTCCATTACCTCAGGATATGAGTGTATTGAGTTGGCCAAAAAGTCCATTTTTTTTCTATAAATAAAAGATGTTTTTCATTTTCACCAATAACTTTATTGATTTGGATATTTTAAGTATGCTATCTATCTCCTACTATTGGCTTCTAGTGGGTGTAGAGTCCAAGGGTGCTGCTAACCATCTTCCAATGCATAAGACAGCCCCACAGAAAAGAATTATTCGGCTAAAATGTCAGTAATACCAAGAAACTTTGAAAACTACTCTTGACATGTTTGGTCACAGCAGCTTCTCCATACACTGCACAAATCTTTTTTTTTGTGAGTGTGTTTGAATTGCATTTTTACCTTTTTTGAAATAATAAAGCATAATGGGCTGAAAATGTTGCATATCTTCTTCCGTCTTCAATATTTAAATGACTGCACAAGAATTCACCAATTTTGATAGGTTTTTGTTAATGCATGTTCATAAGACAGTTGTCACAATACAATCTAACATTGTTTCAAATGAAGTTAAAGACAATGAAGCACTACTACAGCCATCATATGGAAGAAATGTAATGGACTTTTTGGCCAACCAGATATATGGATATAGGACCTTTAAAGAAGTAATTAAGGTAAAATGAGGTTATATGGATCTGCCTTTTTTCAATATGACTGGTGTCTTTATAAGAAAAGGAAATAGGGGCAGAGAAAGCACAGAGGAAAGACCATGTGAGGACGCAGCAGGAAGGCAGCCATCTGCAGCCAAGGAGAGGGGCCTCTGAGGAAACCAAACCTGGTAACACCTTGATCTTGGACTTCAAGCCTCCAGAACTTTAAGAAAAATAGCTGTTGTTTCAGCCACCCAATCTGTCATTTTGTTATGGCAGCTTTTGCAAACTATTACAACATCTAATAATGGTTTTTCTGTGTTCCCTTTCATCTGTGTGCTAATACAGTATTTTTACTACCTTCATAACCTTTTAATATCTAAAAAAGTACACTTGTTCTGTCAGTCTGTCAGAATTTGGGGGTAATATTAGCTATATGTTTATTTGAACTTGTATCACATACCAGCCCCTGTGTCATGCACGTAAGCAGGATGCGTGGAGCAAAAGTAAACTTGCTAATGTCACAGAGCTAGGTTGTGGGGAGGTGTGAAATTTAAACCAAAACACTAATTCTAGGATCCAGATTCTTACCTCTAGACTATGCTTTCCCACTTGCTTTTATTTTTCTGTGCAGCTGAATTCAGACTCATTTCTTAGTTTGATTTCTTTTTAAGAGGAATTAGAATAAACCTCTTAATTTGTGAAGAATCCATAGTAATTTGAGGAATAAGACAATGTTTTTTTTATAACAGATTGCTAAAGTAAAACATTATTAGTACCACATTAAAAATAAAAATAGAATTATTGATTTTTCTGAGGAAAATCATACATGTTCAATATTTTTAAATAATAAGGCAGTGTAAAGCCAGTCAGTGAGTTTGCTTACCCAAATGTGTTTCTGCAGAAGTTTAGACAAAGCTGGCAATTATAATAAAGCCATGTTATAAGCCTTAAAGACATTGAACTCATTACTGAAAATGGCTATAAGAAAAGGAGGAAAAAGGAAAAGGAGACTGGGATATGGAGGGAGAAACCACACAGGTGCACGCAGAGAAATGGCCATGTGAACACAGCGAGAGGCCTCAGGAGAATCAAACCTGTCAGCATTTTGATCTTATGCTTCCAGCCATTAGTGCTGTGAGAAAACAAATTTGTTTTTAAAAAGTAAAAATAAAGCAATGTATAAAGCATTAAAATATTCAAAATTTCACTTCCCATGTGTTACTTTCAAGTACCTTTCCATAACTCCAATTTTTTTTTCTGTTTTAGTGTTTTGTTGCTGCATAGCATTTATAAAAAAATGTACATTCAAAGTGTGAAGGTTCATCAGACAATACAAAGGGAGCACGTCCATTTAGCCAGCACCCAGAGAAGAAAAAACATTACTAGCACTCCAGAAGCATCCATTTGCATACTCTCCAAGGTTAACTACTATTCTGACTTAAATGCAAATGAAATTGTAAGGTTTACTCATGCTGCTGGGAGTTATAGTTCCATTGTATGAAAAATCTGTAGTTTCCTATTCTGTTGATTTACATTTTGATTGTTTCCTATTTGGACTTATAATAGTTCTATGGAAACTCTTGTCCATGACTTTTGGTGCATACATATAGGCATTTCTATTGAGTATTCATCTAAGGTTGGAATTGCTAGGTTATAGGATATGCCTAAGTTCACATTGCTTAGGTGATTGAACCGATATACATTCCTTCCAGCAGTGTATCAGACTTCCAACTGCTCTATGTCCAAAATCAGAATTTTCATTTTTTGGAGGGACTGAGCAAAAAGGTAAAAGGACTCATGGATATGGACAACAGTGTGGTGATTGCTGGGGCGAGGCGGGGGCGGGTATAAGGGGACTGAATGGTAATGGGAAAAAATACAATAAAGATTAAATTCAGAATTTTCATTTTAGGGACTTTGGGTATGAGTGATATTGCACTGCAATTTTTAAAAATTTAATTGTGGCTGTGGTCAGGAGGCTCAGTTGATTGGAGCATCATCCTGATATGGCAAGGTGGAGGGTTCAGTCAGGTGGAGGGTATATCAAAGAAGTAACCAATAAACGCATAAATAAGTGGAAGAACAAATCAATGTTTCTCTGTCTCTTCCCCTCTCTCTAAAAAACCAACAAATTTTAAAAATTTAATTGCTGTGTTCACTTCAGCAGCACATATACTAAAATTGCACTGATACAGAGAAGATCAGTATGACCCCTGTGCATGCAAGACATGCAAATTGGTGAAGCATTCCGTATTTTTTAAAAAATTAATTGCTTAATTGGTTACTATTTACTTAGTATAAAATTTTGAGTGTATAATTAAAAACACGTTTTTTAGTAAACTTACGAGCAGTGCCACCATCACCACAAACCAGCCTTAGGAATCACTCCCCGAAGTTCGCCGCCCGTGGCCGGCAGCCATCGCTGCTGTCTCCACCCACGGCAATCAATGCGCTTCTTGTCTCTGCAGAGTTGCCTTTTTTGAACATTTAATATAAATAGAATAATATAGAATGTATTCTATTGAAGTAAAAAAAAATCTAGTTGGAATATCTCTGCTTTTTTATTGGAAGATTTTATCCATTCAAATTTAATGTAATTTTCGATATGACTGGATTTGTCTGCCGTTTTGCTATTTGTTTCTGTCTTTTTTTGTTCTTTTCCTCCATGACTTTGTGTCAAATCCTTATATACTTTTTTTTTCCTTTGAGAGTATGTTTATTACAGCTGGGGTCAGTGAAACAAGCAAGGGCCTAGGGTAGAAGCAGCAGCAGCAGCAGAGAGGTTAGGCAGGGCTGCTTTGGCTCCTAGAAATCTCACGGGAAAGGAGTGAGCCAACCAGGGCTGCTCTCGCCTCACTGGGGAGTCAGACAAGGGGGAGCCTTGAGGACCGGGCCAGGGGGTGAGCCTGGGATGAGGTGCTGCTGCCTGTTTCTCTCCCTGTTGCAAATCTCATGGGGTCTTCAGAGTTGAGGAGATGCATGCCTGTGGGGGAAGGGGAGGGGGGAGGGGGAGGGGGGAGCGTGCTCCCCAGGAGGGAGAGCAAGCTCTTACATACCATTTTAATTATCGTTTCTTAAATGATTTTTTTTCTTACTTGCCTTAGGAATTAGGCATTCCTAATTCAGCATAATGAAAATTTATTTTTTTAAAGGATTTTATTTATTTTTAGAGAGGGGAAGGGAGGAAGGGAGAAAGAGAGAGAGAGAAATCATCAGTGTGAGAAAGAAACGTGAATCAGTGGCCTCTCCTCCCAGCTGTCTGGGACAAACCTGAAACCCAGGCATGACCGGGGATTCGGGATGACGCCCAACCGATGGGGCAATGGAAATTTATTTCTGATAAAATATAGAAACTTTATTCCTTTAACTGAAATATCTATGAATGAACATGAAAACAAAGGAGAGGAGGAAGGAGGAAGAGAAAGAACTGAATAAATGGATAGCAAAGTACAGTGTTGCACAGATGTGGTCAGTTGTTCCCAGATTAATGTAAAAACTAAATGCAATTCCAATGATAATCACAACGCTTTTTTTAAAACCCTCACCCAAGGACCTTTATTTCATTGCCTTTAGAGAGAGAGGAAGGTGGAGGGGAGGGGAGATAGAGAGAGACCAATTGTCTGCCTTCTTGTATGCACTCTGACCAGGGATCAAACGTGCATCCTGGGTATGTGCCCTGATCATGACCTTTTGGTCCATGGGACAAGGCTCCAACCAACTGAACCGCATTGGCCGAGGCTAATCATAACCACTTTTTAATGTGGTGATGCTATAGGGCGAGAGTCCTTAAACCCTGATTACACAGGTGCTTCAGAAGGAATCAGGAAGGCTGTAAATAAAGTTTTCCTGGGTGTCTCGTGAAAAATCCTGAGGAAAGTAAATAGTGCAGATGTCTATTAAATTTGAGGTATGAACAGAAGTACAGAGGTAGACATACAGAGATAGACTGTCACATGCTCCACGACTAAATTTTCTTTTTTTTAAATTATTTTTTTGTCCTCACCTGAGGACTTTTTTTTTTTCATTGCTTTTAGAGGAAGGGAGAGAGAGAAACATCAATGTGAGAAGCATCAATCAGTTGTCTCCTGCATGCACCAGGACTGGGGATCAAACCCACAACCGAGGCATGTGCCCCAACCTGGAATTGAATCCTTTGGCTGTGTGACGATGCTCCATGCAACTGAGCCAGGGCGCAGCTAAATTTTCAGGATTTTGCAGGTTCCATTTGTATTCTTTAGTAAGTCCACTCAAAGACAAACTGTCCACACTAAACTGTTTTCTGCCAACAGGTATACCCTGCCCCCAAAATGTGTAAGCTGTTTTTGCTGTTCTCAGACTGTGCAGTTTGCTCTTTCCCTCGTTTATAATCCTGCTTTTGTTTTTGATGTTTCCTCATGGTTAAATTTAGGTTATTTTTTTATTTTTTATTTTTTGGCAAAAGTACTACATAAGTCATTTTGTGTCCTCAGTGGATCACGTCAGGAAGTGCATGTTTGTTTGTCTCCTTTGTCATATTTTAAAGAGCCTTGTTTTGAACAAAAGCATGGAGTTGAGGAATTCTAATGAGGGAAATAGTGCCAACCTGGTTTAAAGTGGACCTGAAGGAAACCTTTGAGACAGGCTGTCATGTGTGCTCCATAGCTAAACTCAAAATTTTCTACAGACTCTGTCAACAGTGAGCTTTTCACTTTTATGCCTCTAGTCAGCCTAATCGAAAACTGTTCAGTCTGACTTCTTTATTAGCCATCAGTCATTTTACCTGCAAAAATGTACAAAAAAGAATCACTGTTTTCTAGACTCCTGTAGGTTTTGCCCTTTTTCCTCGATAACTTTCCATTGACTGCCTTGGGCCATAGTTACCAGTCTTCCCATATAATTTACCTTCTTTTAACTGGTAAAATACATACTTCCATACATATATAATGTACATGTAATTTACAGAATAAAGTGAACGTACCTTAATAAAACCAATGTTTTTGGAAGCTATTTATCTTTTTCCTTCAATCATTTTTCTGTGTACTTTAACAAGTTGCTTCATTTGGGGGAAAAAAATGACCAAGACTGCCAATTTGAACTTTGAGAGTAGGCTTGCCCTTCTATTAAGCTACATGGTTAAAACACTGGGGAAGATGGTGAAAAAATTTTTTTAAAGTGTCACATATGGATTGGTAACATTGAGTTTGAGTATAGCAAAAATAGCTTTCATACTGTGTAGAGGGAAAATAAATTGGTATGGCTATTTTGTACAAAAGCTTGGCAGTAAATTTCAAAGGTGCTCATTCTTTAACCCAGAAATTTACTTCTAGGAAGCTCTCCCGTAGAAATACAGGGAGGGGCAGAAGTATGTTTACAAATTGTTTATATGGAAAATAATATAATAATACAAGGATAAACTTTCATATATTCACAACTGTAAACCTACTCTTACCCACCTTATATTCCAACATGAACACAAAGATGCAACTAGAAATTCAATGTAGCAGTTTGTAACTGAGAAATCTGAGAAACTAATCAACCAGTAGTAAGGGAAAGGTTGAAGTGTATTCATACTGAAGACCATCAAGCTGCTGGAAGAAAAAATGTGCAACTATGTAAAAGTCCAAGTTAAACTCAAAAATGATTCCTTTTAACTACATTTGAGAGGGTAGATAAGGAGGTCTATAAGATAGGGACTTTGATTTGGGTGAAAACTCAGATGGCACTGGTTCATGCCCTGTGTTGAGAAGACCCTACCTTTCATTTAAAAAAAAAAAAAACATCAACACTAGCCCTGACAAGTGTGGCCCTTTTGGCTGGGCATCCTCCCACAAAGCTAAAGGTTGTTGGTTAGATTCCTGGTCAGGACACATTCCTGAGTATTGGGTTTGGTTGCGTAGAAGAGGCAATGTTTCTCACATCAGTATTTTCCTCTTTCCTTAAAAGTAAATACAAACTTTTTAAAAAAATCAACACTATACATGCACAAAGAATTTTGTGTGTCATCACAGCTAAATGCTTTTATTTAAAGTTCAACCTTTTTTTCTTGGCTTTCTCCAACCTACAACCAAGGATGTTTACTGTATTTTACCATCCCTCCTCCCCCATGAAATCATTTCACGTATGTCTGTGTATGTAGGGAATTTTTGTGAGTTTTGGAATAGTCACAAAGACTCCTCAATGTTCCCATTGGCTTGCTACTTGCTGCTCCGTAATCTTTCTTGTAAAGGAAAGAATCTGCCATTCTGGTCCTGTGGGCACTACCTGAGGGGCAGGGGGAATCAACATTGAATCTTGTTTACTCTGTAGCCTCAACTGAAACTTTGAGTCTACATTGATGTTGGGTCTTGAATTACCTTGGCTTTTCTTGCCCCTTCTAAAAATAGTTAATAACCTATTGTAAATTCAGCTTTGTATCTTTATTCTTATTATAAAATAAATGCTTATTTAAAATTGGAGTGATCATCTATTAGTGGTAACCGAAAGGTCTATGATAGTCATTCCACCCCCCTGGTCTTTAAAGATAGGTTCCCTTAAATTTTTAAAATGAAGTTTTTCTAACACTAAGTTGGTGTTTGCCGTTGTTTTTTAATCTGAGCACCCAGCTGTTAACAGTTTGCTTCCCTTCTAGAAGGCGTGGTGTCCAAGCCCCCAGGAGCCAGGAAGCCAAATTGCAGGAGGTGCTAATTAATTATTGCTGCAATGGAAATCATCGTATGTAAATGTATCAAAATAACATGTTAAACACCTTAAATTTACACTATAAGTTAAATATACTCCAATTTTAAAAAGTGACCGTGAGCCCTGCGACAGTTGGTTGCTGCGTTTATGAGGCACTAGCGCTGTTTACTTCTCGCTCGAGTCCAACTTCACTGAAGGCCGGATGAACCAGGCAAGACTTGAGGACGACAGCTGAGCAATCTAGGTTGCTTCTTCCAGTTTCACCTCCCCTTACCCATGGTTGCCCGAGCTGGGAGTCGCTTGCAGCGCGGCACAGTATACCCAGCCTGTCCGGATAAGAACCAGTTTTCGAATCTTTGTCGCTTTGAATAAAAACACCGCAGGTCTGGAGAGGTTTCCCAACGAGGCCAGGCTCGATGGGCCAGAGAGGCGTCTCACCCGACAAAGCCAGGTGTGTGCAGTTAAGGAGCTCGAGGGAAGCACCTGCCAGTGAAGACTGCGGCCTCTGGCGGCTATAAACCCAATAGGTCTCACCTGCTTGTGGATACAAAGCAGCCTAGAGCTGGTGTTGGCTCCTGGAGTAAGGTGCTTCTCCCTCCCTTCCTGCCAATCAACTGACTGTAGGGAAATTCGAGTCTTTATTAGGCCTTTTTAAATTCTTGTTTGCAAACATTTAACATGGGGGAGGGGAGGGGAAGAGGTGAAAGCAAGAGCAACTCACACCACCCTCCAGATAGGCGTTTCTACTTGAACCTTATCTGGCTCTCGCTCCAGGCCTCGAAATAACTTCATAACCTGGGAACAGGGACCAGGGTGGCATCGGGGGAGCTTTGGGTCGCCGCCTCCCGGGCCGCGCCGGGGGACCGCTGGGTCGCCGCCTCCCGGGCCGCGCCGGGGGACCGCTGGGTCGCCGGCTCCCTGACTGCAGCGGGGGATTTCTGGGTCTCGGTGTCCTGGGCAGCGTTCTTTCCTGAGCCTGGAAGAAAAGCAATGTGAGGAGACCACACCTGTGTCCCCATACTCTCTCCACAAAAGGAGTCATCTTACGGGCTGAGGGGGTGGGGGCCCGGAACCTGAGAGCATGGGGTCAGTTTGGCCTCTTAGATCCCTTGCAAAGAGGAACCCACTCCGGTAGACTAAAAGGTTGAGACCGCTACCCCGGCTCATCCAGGAAACATCAGGATCCCTCCCGAGGAACCCAAGATCTGTCCAGGGTCCCCTCACTATTCCTGGTCCCGTACTTTGCGCCCGGAGTTGGCGGTGATAGTAAGCCAAGTTCATGATCATCTTGGACACGTCCTTTTGGTAAGAAGGCCGACCAAATATCAAGATCTCAGCCTCGCCTTCAGGGTCCCACTGATTAATGCGAAGCAAGGTCTGCGATACACACTCGACGTGCGGGATGTGCTCTCCGCCCGGGCCTGCGCAGGTGGGAAAGAGACCGTGAGGGGTGGGACAAGGGAAACGGAAGCAACGAGAGGGGGAGGCAGCAGGTGTCACTGGACTGCAGCCAGAGCCACAGAAGAAGCTTGCCCTGAGATGCGGTCAGCCTGGGGATGGGGTTGGTAGGAGTTGGGAACGGAGGCCGCACTGGCCTCCCCGCTCTGGCCACTCACCAAAGATCGCTTCCACCAGCCAAGCCTCAAGATGAACTGCCTTCGGACTCTTCAGGTACTCGGACTGGAACCAATAGGGCCGCTTGGTGATGTTACTGAGCATCTGGAACAGCGCCCCTTCCCGCTGCTCCAGCTGCACCAGCGTCGGGAAGCGCTTGGGGGTGGCCATGCTGCCGCCGGCCTCGCCGGGAGCGGTGCCGTAGCTGCAAGCTGGGAGGTCGCAGCTGGGCCTGGCTGCGACAGCTGCTCTCAGGCCTGGGCCTTATTTCAAGGGCTTGTGGCAAGCCCCTCCCCAACCACGCCCTTCTCATTGGATTCCAGGCCTGGCCTCCCAAACGCCGCAGCCCGGCTTCTCGCCGAGATCGCACAGGTGCAGACTCGCGTTCTCGCCGCCGCGGGTTCCGTCTGGGCCCGCCCTTTCCCCAGCATCATGTGACGAAAAGGCGGAGCTCTATGGCTGTAGGGAAGGTCCAACAGCAGGAAAATATCCGCAGAGAAGGAAGCTGATGGATTCGGGAACCCGAGTGCTTTTCAGACCATAACTTTTAATGGAAAATCTAGTTAAATATATCCCCCCCTCGCCCAAGAAAAGCAAATCCTCAAGGAGTAAAAAAGGTACTCGAGGGCTAAAGTCCCCCACTTCCTCCTGAACCCTGGCCAGTGAGTTCCCTCCCCAGAGGCCACCACATTTCCAACTTCTTCCTTAACCTGTCAGAGACAGCTGAGCACAGCTAACAGCAGGTGGTTCTTATGGTTTGGACAACAGAGGGGAGTCCCTTGAAATTTTCAATGCCTTGTTCCTCTAACACAATTATATTTCCATTTCTTGACTTTCTGTCAAGCTTAAAGCATTGCTTATAAACTGCTACTCAGGAATATGAAGCTATATAGCTCTCACATCAGTAGTTAGGATGTCATGCCCAGACCCAGGGAGTTGAGATCCCCAGAGGTCATTCAGGCGCATCCTTGCGTCCTCTGTAGGAGTTCTGTTGGCCAAAGAAGTGCACGAGAAGTTTGCAGGTGTCTAACAGGGTCCATAGTCTTAAGATCTAAGCAGAATATGAATTAAGAGTCACAGAAGGGCAAAATCAATTAAAAAGGTCATTGGATGGACTTACAAACTTCCATGGGTAGGTAGAAGAGTCAGGTGAACATATAACTGAAACCCAAAGATCTGGGGTCCACAGCTGTCTCCCCAGGAGCTCATGGAGTCACTAACACAGCAACTATAAATTGAAATTTGAGGTCTCATCAGTATTGCCAAGAAGAATCCAATCCAGGAAGTATCCCCGTGAAAATATCTAGTGTGAAATCTGTTTCTTATACCAAAATTGTATAGGATGTTGTTATTGTTCCTTAGTTGACATAGAGGATACTTGCAGTTCTATACATGTTACTCCCGTGTTTTTCCCTAAAGGCTTTATAGCTATACATTTTACATTTAATCTGCTAATACCATACAGTCTTGATTACTATAGCTATGATAATAATTAAATTTAGGGAGACTGACCTTTTTCTTTTTAAAGTTGTTTTAGCTATTCTAGTTCCTTAGCCTTTTTATATAAATTTTAAAATAGTCTGGTCTAAAAAATATATAAAATAAAATAATCTAATTTATATCTATAAAAATCTTTTAAAAAAATTTTTATTTATTTTTAGAGAGGGGAAAGAAGAAAGAAAGAGAGGGGGAGAAACATCAATGTGTTGTTGCCTCTTGCATGTTCCCAACTGGAGACCAGTCCCACACCCCAGGCATGTGCCCTGACTGGGAATCAATCCAGTGACCCTTTGGTTCACAGTCTGGGGCTCAATCCACACTGAGCCACACCAACCAGGACAACAAAAAAAATCTTGCTGGCATTTTGATAGGAATTGCATTAAGCCTGTATATCAATTTAGACAGAACTGATAGAGGACAAGATGAAAGCAAAGAAAGTTATGTACCTCTGAAGGAAGGAAAGCATCTGAGATGGAAAGAAAGTGGGGAGTGATTAGATTTGAGGCTTTGCAACCCCTCTGGAAGCAGACTTTCCTGGAGGCTGAGAACTCAGACCAGGAGGGCATAACACTTTTTGGAGTTGCTAACTGGTTTCCACAGGCCTACTGATATCCACAGGTGTGTTTTGTTGTACCCACACCATTTTTTCATTTACTTTTTCAACCAGGTGCCAACATTATAAAAATGGGAGATTTCATATAAAAATCAGAATGTCTGGCAGTTCTGGGGCTGACATCCCTGCATGGCCCCAGAACTACTCAATGGTAATGAATAGTTTCTCTTTTATCAGGGGGCTGGGAGGAGCGACCTGGTAGGGCCAGGGGTAAGGTAGGCTACTTATTTTTATTTTTAAAAATTTATTTATTTTAGAGAGAGGGGAAGGAAAGGGAGAAAGAAGGAAGAGAAACATTGATGTGTGAGAGAAACATTGATTGGTTACCTCTCCCGCACACCCTGACCAGGGACCAACTCCCCTACCCCCATCCCAGACATATGCCCTGACTGGGAATCGAACTGGCAACTTTAGCTTTTCAGGGACGATAACCAATCAACTGAGCCACAATTATCAGGGCAAGGCAGGTTGCTTAAAGGATTCTCTCATGTTGCAAAGGAATGAAAACTAAGATGTTAAAACATCACATGTTTTTATACAGAGCTTGAGAGAGTACTCATTAGAAAATTTGCTAATTATTTCATACTTGTCTGTCTATTAAGTTTTATCTTCTAGATATGGTCTTAGGTAGATAGTTGAGGTACCTATAATCTTGCTGTCCAAAATTTGATCCATTAACTGGCAGCATCAGCATCACCTGGAAAATTGTTAAAAATGAAGAATCTTAGGTCTGCCCCAGACCCACTGAACCTGCATTTAACTAGGTCCCCAAGGATGTAAAGTAGAGCATAGGAAACAGTCAATAATATTGTAATAACTATGTATGGTACTAGATGGGTACTGGTAATATCAGGGTGAACACTTTGTAAAGTACAATATATGATTGTCTAACCGTATGCTGTACACCTGAAAGTAATACAAAATAATATTGAATAAGATTGTAACAAATTTTTTAAAAAAGAAAGTTAACAACAACAAAAACAACAGGATTCCAAAGTGACTCTTTTATACATTCAAGCTTGAGGAACTCTTTCATGCTTCATGGTGCATTATGTAAAATTCCATTGAACAACTGTTTTTAGTTGGTTGGAGTATATATTAAAACCAATTTATTTTTAAATATAATGCTTTACAATAAAGTCGCAACTGAAATCTAGGACAAAAATTGTTCTCAACTCTAGCATACAATCTTGTAAACCCCCTCCAAATTTTCAAGGGACATTTTTTTTTTTTTGAAAAGCAGTAAGTCAATAAATAGCTAGAGTATTAAAAATTCTTCTGTCCTTTGATTTATAATTCTGTGGGCATCCATCTTACATACTCCCAAATATGGCTATTGAGCCATATGGCCTTCTCATTAATGCAAGGCAGTGTACAAATGAAAGCCAATAAAATCCGATAGTAAACTTGGATTGAATACCATAGAGCCTTAATAGCAATTTAAGTAAGATGTAAATTGGCAGATACAATCTATTCTGTTGGAAAATTCTCACTCTCTTGTTCTGGCTAGGTCACCCTCCCAGTCTCTCCCCAAGTTTCAAGTTGTAGATGCATTGAGTCCCCTCCCCCATGGGTTACAAAGAGTAAGAAACAGAATGTCCCTGACAGTCCTGGAATTGCTAGGGAAGTTGAGATAGGTATGCAGCAGGCAGTCAGGCAGTGATTGCCATTGCTTTGAATCCTAAACTAATCTTGAAATTGGGTCGTCTGGATAGGCGAGGCCTGCAGGAAGGGGCGGGGTTCTCTCTGAACTACTCCCCGGTGACATGTTTACCTGGTGCCCCAGCAAAAGAGCTCTTCCTTTCTCTGACCAGGGCCTGGGCATGACCGAAGCCCATCAGAACAAGCAGAAGTAGAAGCCGGCTTAGGAGAGAGGTCTCCCTCCGCCCAGGAAACTGCAAGCGCAGATCGTGGCTGCAGCCAGAGCACTTGCGGACTCCGCTGTTAAGTCCCAGTGAGATGCCCGTCTTCGGAGAGAGAGAGTCGGTCTCGGACCTCTCCCCGTAGTGGACCTTGCGTCTGCGCCCTTCTTCGTGGTCCTTCCTAGAGCCTCAAACTGTGCTTAGAGCCAGGCTCCGTGGGCTCCATTCCGTTTGGTCAGACTCTGACTAGCAATTTGAGGGCTCCACCAAACTTTTGGCCTTGATTTCCCCAGGCTTGGGCATTGCTCTCCCTAGGTTCTTCTGGAGAGCGCACCAGGTGCTTCTAGACTTGAGACTGGCGGTGCAGATCACTGTTATCGATGCCCGTGGCACAGGAAGGGAGTCGAGTGGCTGCTGCGGGTCATGGCCAGCAGGCACCTGGACAGCCGCTTCTGAAGTAAGTGCTAGAGGCATGGGGCTCCTGTCTGATCCCCCACTCCTCTGCTCCTACGTGCCAGGGAATCTCGGCTTGCGTGATGGCTGGACACTGTCCTAAGGAGCTGAGGAGCTAGAAGTCTGCCCAGACAAAGCCGGCTGTGAGGGGAAGTGGGATCCTGCTTTACATCGGGTTCCCTTTCCCGACCCGAGCGAGTGGTGCATGTTCCCTGTCCCGGTGACGGGGACTTGTGCATTCCCAGGGGTGGGCGCTCCTTATAGGCGATGAGGTGCTGGCACTTTAATTAATTAATTAAATTTTTAGAGAGAGGGGAAGATAGGGAGAGAAACATCGATTGGCTGCCTCTCGAACACCCCCGACCGGGGACCTGGCCCGCAACCCATGCATAGGCCCTGACCTGGAATCCAACCCGCGACTTTTCAGTTGGGAGGTCGGCGTTCAACCCACCTGAGCCACACCAGCCATGGTGAAGTGCTGGCACTTTTGCTAGTCATGAGCGCACTGCCTGTGGATTCGGGAGAATACTTCTTCCTGAAGCCCAAGAAGCTGAACGGATTGCATAGGTTAGATAGATGTCATGGGTGTTTCCAGCCGCAAGCGTGAAGCTCACGCGGGTTGTACTTCGCTTCCCTGGCGCAACCCTTGGAAAGACTCGAGGTAGTGGGCTAGAATCTTGACGGGGGTCTAGGATATCCGGGCTGCGGCAACTGCTCTGGACGTCTGGAACCATTTCCTCGAAACTCCCTTAAAATTCAGCTCCCGGAGCCCCGCAGAGGATCTGTGGACACAGCCTCTGACAACAGCCTTTTCCTGGGAAAGGCCAGGAGTGTAATGCGTGTTGTGGGGACTGTCTTTCCTGAGGCAGCGTCCCCAGTACTCTGCAGCCTTGTCTCAGTTTGGGTTCTGAGGAACTTTCTGGATGGTTGTCCAGATAAAAGGCTGGTGTGTGTTCTCGGATTGGAAGGAGTGGCCCTCCAGGCACCTGGCCGTTCCATCTGCTCTGGGGTCTCCTCCGGCCCTCACTGCCACGCCTTGGGGTAGGTGGCTAGAAGAAAGCTTGATTTCCATTGAAGTGTAGCTAGCTGACTGGGACATGCATTGAGTTTCCAGAAAGCCAGGGTGCCTCTGACACCTCTGGTTCGGTGCACCTGGCACTTACTTGCTTCATCTCTGAGGTGGGTGGTGGAGGATATCCATGAGTTTCAAATAAAACGCGCCTTTCACTTCCTGCTGCCCAGCAGTCAAAGTACTGGCCCTGCTGAGGCTAAGTAATCTGAGTGAGAGAAAAGGAGGCTATGATCGTTGTGAATGCACTAGGGCCTCTGGATGGAGTTCCTACCTGCTTCAAATTAAAAGCTACAGGCAGGTAATAATTTGGGACTGAAAATGAATTTTCAGTGGCTTCATTTCATATATACTCATAGGTGTGCTGGGAAGCTAAAGGGGTGCCTGGAGACACAATTTCTTTCTGGGAGATAACAAAATGAAGATAGGTATCCCCCAAGCAGAAGGGGTTGGTATGGCACCTTTTTGAGAAGAGGTTAGGGAAGGGGATCTAGCTCCCCTTAGGAAATCACACTAGTCTCCAACCAGACCCCCAAACCATCTATTTGTGAATCTGTGATTCTAGGTTCAAAATGTGTGAATGAAAAAGCAACAAGGCATCCAGAGTCACTTATTCCAGTGGCAGGGCAAACAATGGAAAAATCACTGGAGTGAGGAAACAGGCTCTTATAAACTGCTGATGTGACATGCCTGTGTTGATGTCTTTGTATATGAGCTCTTTAGAAGGGATATTAATCATTAGTATTGAAACATTTTTTGATGGTGTTACTTTTTGAGCCAGCAATATAAGTTTCTGTACAGTTTTACAAGTTTAAAATAAGTGTGTGTAGTTTGCAGGCTTGTCTCTAAAACCCTTAAGTTGAACACAATTCTTGCATCCTTCTATCTGACTCTTTAAAAATACTGTATTAAACTTCCAGCCAAAGAAATGGGGTGTGTGTTTGTTTGTGTGTGTGTATGATTTAGAAAGCATGGTAAGGGGAAGTTCTCACTGGAGGGATGGGTTACACCCTTTCTCCCCCTAAAAGTTACTTTTTATTAGCTACTAGTACTTTATCTCCTCTGTTTCATTAAAATTCACAACTACAGAAATGTAGTGTCCTTTACTAAGAACCAACTGTTGACATTTGTCACATTGGCACTCTACATACATAGAAAATGATGGCGTTTCATTTAGTAAGGGACTGAATTATTTGTAAGAAAATTGTATCAACACTTCACTTTACACAACATTTGTGTGATTTTTTTGTGATAACAAGAACCTTCTCTTACATAATAAAAAAATTTATTACTCTATAAGTTCTGTATTATAGAATATACAATCAAATATTATTTTACAATATAGTCCATATTAAAATTTTCCCCACTGTCCTGAAATGTCCTTTCTCTGCCTTTTATTCAGGATTTTGTTCATGCATAGCATTTAGTTGTCTCCTTGAGAATAAAATAGTCTGCTTCCCCCCCCACCCCACCCCATGACATAGAAAACCCAGGAGTCCATTTGTCTCATTATTGGTGATGCTAATGCTGGTCTTTGGTTAAGGTGGCATGTTTTCCAAATCTCTATTGTAAAGGAACATTTTCTTTTTTGTAATGCATAATTTGTGTGCTAGGACTTACACACCTTTTGGATATCCAGTTCCTTAAACTTTTGTTTGAGATTTTTAGCCATTTTTCCCCTACAAAAATTTATTGCACCAACGGTTGTAAAAGAACCCATAGTTTTTCATTAATCGTGATGAAATCTGCCCTAAAAAATGGTCATAATAGTCAGGGGAAGGGGTATTAGATGTTACCACAACGTGGCCTTGGGGAAAACCAGCTTCATCTCCATCTCTGAAGCTCTAAACATTGAAATCATACCCTCATTGGGTGAATGTAGTACATTGCTTCAAGCAATATGGTTTTATTTTTTTATATGAATAAACAAATTTATTCGGAGCCAGAAGCCTGGACCACACAGTTTTGTCCCGGTGGCCAAGCAGGGCATAGATGAGCTTCGAAATCGGAGATTAAAAAGTTCTAGACCTTGGGGCTTCGAGCAGCTCGAACCGTGGGAGCTCTTTAGAGCCCCCATCACATCCCTTGAAGAGAATGAATTTTCGAATCTCGTTTTCCTCTTTGTTAAGTGGCAGGAATCATTCCTGAGTCCCCAGAAGTTTCAGGGGTCGCCTGCGACGTGAAGCCCCGGGGTCCAGCCCCCATAGGCCAAAGGAAAACGGACCCTCCTTTGGAACGTGGGAGAACGGAAACTCGATTTGGTAGCTTCTGGGGGGTTCTCGCACCCTCAACCCGGGACTTCCGCTTTCCGGGGTTCAGGCCCAACCACTCCTTCCCGGGGGAAGAGTCGTGCCATCATCCCTTACACTCTCAAGGCCCAGAGCTTCTGGTGCGGAAGAAGCGAGTCAATGCACGTGGAAACCGGAAACCTTTATAAACTCGGAGACAGCTGGGCCCACCAGCGCCCGGAAGAGGGTAAGGAGGTCACCCTCCAGGCCACAGCGCACGCAGGCGGGCGGGCGAGGGGAGCGCTGTGAGCCCGGGGTTGGGCCCTCAGGCCGGGGGTGGGGCCTTCCGGGGCGGGGCCTGGTTGTGGGCGGGACCTGCCCAGGTGTTCAACTTTCTCGCGCGCCGCGGCTCTGTGCGACCTGAACTCGGAGCGTGATTTTCGTTTCGAGGCACTCAGGATGGGGACGCTGCCGAAACGGAAAGATATCCCACCGTGGGTGAAAGTTCCTGAAGACTTGAAGGATCCCGAGGTGTTCCAGGTCCAGACGCAGCTGCTGGAAGCCATGTTTGGTGAGTGAACCCAGTCCTGACTCGGGTGCCTCGACCCCGGCGTCTCGGCCCTGGCCGGAGCGCTTATCTTCTTCCCTAAACAGGCCCAGGCGGATCTCGAATCCCGTACATCGAGCAAGTGAGCAAAGCCATGCTTGAGCTGAAGGTTCTGGAATCCTCGAACCTCACCGAGGTCGTGGTTTACGGCAATTACATGTACAAGCTCCGAACCAAGTGGATGCTCCAGTCCATGGCCGAGAGGCACCGCCTGAGGCAGGAGCGAGGTGAGAGGCCCTTGACGAGGTGGTGGGGAAGGGGAAGAGGAACACAGTGTCCCTCGCTCTCCGTCAGTCCGTCTCAGCCCTCCCATCCCATCCCGTCCCGTCCCCTCCGGCAACCACAGCACCTCGGGGATCCTTGGTGTCTGGGCTGTCCCTGAGGCTCCTTTGGTAATACCATCGTCTGGTCGTAGGGACCCTGGAGTGGGGCTGTGATGAGAGGTGGCCTGGGCTGGCCTCATAGGGTGGGCTTTTCTGAGGTCTCATCCCAGGCTTCCCCCCACGCCTAGCTCGGAGGCCTGTTGGAATGGGCCCAGGGGCCCCACGTTCTGAGCCGCCTGAGAACCTCAGGCAGAGAACACCTGGCCAGGACCTTGAAAGAGGCTGTGAACTGGCCAGGCTCTTGTCCTCTCCTCAGTCACACTTACTGTTGCTTTCTGGTGCAGGGATGCTCAAACTTGAGGAAGCCATGAATGCCCTCGAGCTAGACCCTTCGATGAAGTGAGGCCAGTTTGCAACCAACGGCACCTGGGACCAGGATGTGCACAGTAGGCTGTGCCAGAGCTGGAGGGGATCTGCCCTGGTTTAAACTGTGCTGCAGCTTGACAAGGTTAAACAGCTTGTTGTGGGTTTCTGCATTTGCCTCTGAGTCCTGATGTGACTTTTTCCCAAGATTGCTAATTAAAGAATAAAATTTTAAATCAATAGTTCCTTGGCATGTGCTTTTGAAGTATTGGAGATAACATCACAACTAAGGTGGACCTTGTACTTAAGCCTTAATTGAATCCCCAAAGCTAGGTGTAAGAAGTCCAAGAGCACACTTGGCTAGGGTAAAAAAAAAAGGGGGACAAGGCTTAGGAGCCAAGTTTTGAGATGCAGCTCCAGTCAAAAACTGGTCAGTCGAAGGGAGATGTGATATTATCTGGACTTTTAAAAAAATAATAACCCTATAATAGGTTAACATAACATATATAAAATGAAAACCAAACATTACCCAAAACAAATACAAAAGTGCAAGTGCCTTCTCAGTGTAGCAGTTTTTTTTTTTTATTTTTAAAAAAGATTTTATGTATTTTTTTTTTTTTAAGAGATAGGGGAAGGGAGGGGGAAAGTGAGGGAGAGAAACATCAATATGTGTGAGAAACATTAGATCGGTTGCCTCTTATGCAATCTCCAGCTGGGCACCTGGCCCAAAACCCAGGCATGTGCCTCAACTGGGAATTGAACTGGCAACCTTTCGATTTGCAGGCTGGTGCTCAACCCACTGAGCCATACCAGCCAGAGCCAGTACAGCAGTTTTATATCCTTGTAAACTTAATAGAAGACTGCTAGCTGAGTTCTTACCTGCATTCAGTCTGCTGCAGAATGTTATTTAGATTGGAGTTTGAAGAAAATTCAGCCTTACAGATACGTATGTGAAAAAGGAGAACCTAATAGATCTCTTGAAAGGGTCTCTGGGATTCTCCACCACACTTATAGAATTGCTATATTAGGCCCCCACAGGGTATGTCAAATTGGGGGTAAATGAAGGCATTACTGTAGGTGGGACTCACCCTTGATTTGTTGAGGGATCATTAGTATGGAGACTGTAGTTTTCCCTAGTAGTGACCAGCTTGATAGTTCAAAACTAGAATGAATCCCACCTAGGGAACTTTCTGGCCCTATGACCTAAGCCAAGTTGTTCTACCCTCTCAGTCTCCAAATTGAAGATAACAGCATCTGACCCTGTAACAGTTAATATATGTAGGGTACTTAGAACAAGCATCACACATAGTGGCAAATGTTGACTATTCTTAGAGATTGACCAATAATGGGAGACAAAACTAACAAATGAGCTGTCTTCTGCAAGGGAAAATGTGGGATATCTATCAAGAAACTGGAGGCTGAATTCCCAGAGAGAGAATGCTGGTCCGAAGGGGAAGAACATAAATAATTTTGCTAGATACTACCACTGCCTTCCAATGGGGTTGAAATAATTACACACCCAGCAGCAATATATATGATTGCCTATTTCCCCACAACCTCACCCGGAGAAAATTGGCAAACTTTATTGTATTTTTTTTTTTTTTTGTGGGTTAGGTGAAGAGTCTCCCTGTCTTTAGTACTTAAACAAAATTGAATGTATTGGGGTTACATTGTTGATAAAATTATATAGGTTTAAGGGATACAATTCTATAATATATCATCTGTATATTATATTGTATGCTTACCACTCCAATTCATACCTCTTTCCACCACCACTTACTGCCCCTTTACCTTCTCATACCTCCCCTACCCGTTTCCCTCTGGTAGTTACCATACTATTGTCTATGAGGTTTTTTGTTTGTTTGTTTGGTTAATTCACTTTTTTCACCCAACCTTTCACTCTCTCCCCTCTGAGAGCTGTCAGTCTGTTTTCTGTATCTATAAGTCTGTTTCTGCTTTGTTAGTTTGTTTTGTTCATTAGATTCCACATGTAAGTGAAATCATATGGTATTTGTTTTGTACCAACTGGTTTATTTCACTTAGCTTAATACTCCAGTTCCACCCATGCTGTCATGAAAGGTGAGATTTCCTTTTTTTTATGGTTGAGTAGTATTCCATTGTGTAAATTCTACCACAGATTTTTTTATCCACTTATTTACTCATGGGGACTTGGACTGCTTCCAAATCTTGGCATTGTAAATAACACTGCAATGAACATAGGGGTGCCAAAATTCTTTTTAATTAGTGTTTGGGTTGCCCAGAAGTGTCATAGGCAGTTCCATTTTTATTTTTTGAGGTAACTCCATATTGTTTTCCACAGTGGCTGCACCAGTCTGTATTCTCACCCATATTGATAACAGCCATTTTGATAGGTGTGAAGAGATAATTCATTGTGGTTTAATTTGTATTTCTCTGATGATTAGTGATGTTGAGCATCTTTTCATGTCTATTGGCTATTTGTAATACCCTCTTTGGAAAACTGTCTGTATAGGTCCTTTGTCTTTAGTACTTCTTGACAGAGTCTTCTTTATGGACCGACAGTTGTGGAACCCTCAAATCACCCTCAGCTACTGCACCCTTCAAAGAGTCAGTGGGTAAGAAACGATTATGTGTAGGACTGTAAACTGAAGAGTCAGGAACTCTTAACTCTGCAGTGTGAATAAAGCAAATAAAAACTTCCCTTGCCCTTTAAAGTCTAGAAATTCTGTCCTAAGGGCAGTGCTTCTAAATGCATGTAGGAAACAACTTCCAGTTAATCTGTGACAAAGTAGCAAAATGTGGAAATTTAAGAAAATGTCATAAATTGCATGCATGCCCTGGACTGAAGATTTTTCAACCCTATTAAAAAAACTCAGAACAACACAAAGCATTGAGACAATTCATAGGAAAAGTTTTGGAAGTAATAGCTTGAGGATTAAAAAATGACTGCCTTGGAGTGGTTGCATTTTTTTTTTTTTTTAAAGTTTGAACCTTTGACCAGTTTTCCACCAAGGGTAAATGCAAAGATTGTGGGAAACAAAACAAGCTTCATTGTAATGGAGATGAAGAGTCTGCCTTTAGGGCTAAGAGATTTGGAGAGGAGGTAAAACAAGGGTTTAACATAGTCCAGAAAAGTTTGGGTTGCGTACAAAACAGCTGATAAAAACAATCCATTCTAGTGAAATTCTTTGGCTGTAATTGCTAACAGTAGCCAACTCTGATTGCCAGTGAAACAGCCCGCCTCTTGCATTAACTCAATTCTCAATATTAGCATTTTACTAATTAGAAAATCAAGACCTATCAATCATGTCCCTTCCCCAGAATTCATTCATATATATATATCTTCTTAAGGTCATTAAAAGGGCTTTAATCTGGTGCAGGGAAGAGGAAGATTCCAAGCTGGCGTAAATGATTCTGATAGGGCCCAAGCTGATCTCCATACTCCAGGAGACAATCTGCCAGGACTCCAGGGACCAAGGACCTCTGGGGAAAGGAGTCTTCCCTGCTGTGGGCCCTGGGTGGGCTAGAGTAAGTCCGCCCCCCTCTGATGATAGGAGGGCCTGGCGCTCCAGGAGAGTCCAGCCTGTCTGGGGCATTATGTGGATCTAAGAGTCAAGTGAGTTAATGACCACTGTTCTGAGGAACTTGAGGGTACTTGGAAAACTTCAGTGGGGATTTGACCTGGTCAAGGAGTTCAGGGAAGATTCCTAGAGGAAGTCACACTTGGGTGAGAGCTGGCAGCGGTGACAGTCAGCCCTCTGGAGACTTGGAGTCTGGTGGCTGGAGCAAGGCCAGAAAGGGAGGGAAGCCGGTTGGTGGAGAGCCTCGCTGACCATGGTAAGAGCAGAGGAAGCCACCTAGGGGTTTTAAGCAGGTGGTGAGTTGTTCAAAAAGCCTCTTATCTGGTTTTCCCCACGCTACTTGAAGAGACTGTCGTTTCTCATTGTATATTCTTGCCTCCTTATAGGTTAACTGACCATATAAAATGAGAGTTTATTTCTGGGCTCTCTAGTCTGTTCCTTGATCTGTGTGTTTTTATGTCGATTTTTGTTTGTTTTTTGTAAGATTTTATTTGAGCCAAACTGACGATAATGCTGAGGAGCAAGATCTCTAATGCTCTTAATACCGCAATATTTGGATCACTATAGCTTTGTAATAGAGTTTGAAATCAGGGAGTGTGATACCTCCAACTTTGTTCTTTTTCAAGAGTGTTTGGCTATTGGGGGTCTTTGGTGGTTCCATATAAATTTTAGGATTTTTTGTTCTAATTCTGAGAAGAATGCTATTGGTATTTTGTCAGGGATTGCATTGAATCTGTAGATTGCTTTGGGTATATTAATCTTGTATTGTGCAGCTTCACTGAATTCATTTATTAGTTCTGATAGTTTTATGGTGAAATCTTTAGGGTTTTCTATACACAGTATTCAACACAGGGAATATAGTCAATTTAGTAATAACTTCTCATGGTGACAGATGGTTACTAGACTTAGTATGGTGATTACATTGTAAGGTATATAAATGTTGAATTACTATGTTGCACACCTGAAAGTAATATAATATTATATGCCAACTATACTTTAATAAAAAATTTTAAAATATAGAATATCAAAATTGAGAATTTAATGATGAGTACAAGTCAACGTTCCCTTTAGTTTTTAAGTTGTGCCACTTCAGCACCTCTAAAAACAAGTGTTATTATGATCAGTTTGTTATTGTATCAAAGTTGAGTTGTAATTTTAATGATATAAACATTCACAGTTGACCATCAATGAAATTGTTTTGAAGTGGTAAAAAATTTTTTTTAAAGCTTCTAGTCCCTCAGAACCACTCAGAGTAATTTAGTTCTTGTTTCCTCTTCAGCTAGGAACTCACTTTAGATTCTGATTTTCCTCTAATCCCTCAGCCTTGCTTGCCTCCTTTATTTATTTATTCCAGAAACATTTGTTAGGTGTCTGCTTTGTCACCTCCCCAGGAACCCTGTTCTAGGGAAAAAACAAAAATGAATATGTCACCTGAGAGCATTTTCAGGATTTCAGGGAATATTTTCAGAAAACAAATATC